GGGCTGGGGCGGGCTCCTCCTGAATCAGCAGAGGTTCCGGGTTTGCAGGACTTTACCCAAGTGGGGTTTGGGGACTGCACACAGTAACACTCAATGACTCGCTGCTGGGGATGACGCCGGGCGGCCCAGGGGCACCCGGGCACAGAGAGGAAAGGCAGGGGCTCGCAGTAATTACTCCAGGCCGGGTCTCCGGTTCCTCTCGCCTCCTGCCACCCGGTTTGGGCAACTCTGTCAAAACAGACACCCGTGCGTCTGTCCCCAGTGGGCTGAGGGCAGGTGCCTGCCTGGGGCCCCGGGTGTGTGCCGGACCCTGGCAGCCGCATCCCCAGGACGGAGAAGTTTCCTCTTCTCCAGCTTTCTGGGCTCCTCCTGTGCCACCCCAAGGTCAGGCTTCAAGGACACGGGCAGGAGACGCGACCGTGGCCAGGCCTGGGCAGCCACTGTCCCTCCCGGGGCCACCACTTCCGCTGCCTCTGAGTCCCCACTTGGTCCTTGAAGGCTACCCGACACCCTCCTGAGAGACCAGGGCAGCTGCTTCTGCTGAGGGCCAGTGGGAAGCCCTCCACTCGGGCCGGAGCGTGGCCTCTGCCCTCCACACCCCGGGCCGAGACTCTGGAGTCCTGGGGCACCCTTCCCTGGGGTGCCCACCCCACACGTCTACCTGCACAGCGACGTTCCCAGTAGCGCAGCGCGCTGTCCCTGAGTGACTCGTCCGCAAACCGCACCCGGAAAGGGCAGCTGCGCCTTCGGGGCCCCAGGCCTCCCCTGGAGAGGGTGGGGGTGGGCATGGCCTCGGGGCCCGGTGTGCCACAGAACCTGTAGGGAGGCCGGGAAGGGGCAGGGCTAAGTGTGCAATATACATCTTCCCACCAAACCCACATGACTCTCACCCACAGAGCACTGCTCTTCCTTTTGTTTGTTTTGGTTTTTTGAGACAAGAGTGTTGATATGCTGCTCAGGCTGACTTCAGACTCATGGTGAACTTTCTGCCTCACCTTCCTTCCTGAGTGCTGGGATTACAGCCACCAGACCCAGCTATTATTCCCACTCTACAGATGAGGAAACTGAGGCATAGAGACTTTGGCAACAAGACTAAAGTCACACAGCTGGGAAGGCTGGGAAGGGGTGCAACCAGTCTGCACTGGGTCCAGATGCACTCCTATGTCTCCAGTGAGGGAACAGAGACGATGAGAATTCAAATCCAGGAGCCAGGCAGTTCTGGGTTTCAATCTTAACTCTTGAGCCGCAGTTTCCTTATCTGTAACACGAGGAGAATCATGGTGCCCCACCCCCATAAAAGGTTGCAAAGAGACGAAATGCAAAGGCATCCTTCCCAGGGCAAACATCGAGAGTGAAAGCCCATTCCAGCTGTGTGACCTTCTGTAGACCACCACGGTAAAGGTGAGGGGTGAGAGCCCCGTCCCAGCGCACCGCAGTGTCCCCCTGCCCTTCTGCGTATAGTTTGGGAAAAAGTGTGTGCTGCCTTGGCTTGACTGGTTTGGAGTCCCCGGGTTGGTAATGTGTTTCATCTGTGCCGCTTGTGTCTAGATGTCCCCCCAAAGCCTCATGCAGTCATAGGTGGGGCTTTTTCACAGGTGAATGAATCTAGAGTATGTAACGCTGGAACTGACTCATAGTACAGTACTAGGCTCTAGCACACTGGGATTAAGGGTGAGGTCTGCCTGCTCTGAGAAGTCTGGATAACATAAAAGGGGCAGAAAGACACTGTTAAGGTCCCTTGTTGCTTTTGCTGTCTTTGCCAGCAATGAACTCTTTCTCCTCTGCAGTGGCCCTCTGCCATGTGCCACTCTGCCTTCGAACCAGCCAACTATGGACTGAAACCTCTATGAACTATAAGCCAAATAAACCTTTCATCCCTTCACTTGTGGGTGTTGGGTATTTTGTCCCAGCAACAAGAGAAAAGTAACTAAGATAATCTGTGATCCATTAGAGGCATCTGCCTGGAGAGGGTTCTCAGACTCAGAGATGTGCTGTGATCCATTAGTATTGTCTGCCACGGGTACAGCATGAGGAGGAATGGAATGTGTGTTATGTATTCATGGTCCCCAGTCTTTAAACTCATGAGAAGTGCTTTTACCCTTCACCTCTGCCTAAGCCTGTTTAAGCTGGAGGCATTTCTTTGCTGGTTTCTTTCCCACTTCCATTAGAGCTCTGGCATCTAGGCCCACCTAAGTGCTAATAGCTGGTCTCTTCTGTTAAGTTCATCTCTTACTTCTCCCAGATTTGACATATACTAAAACCTAATGAAAGTTGGAAAATGTAGGAAGGGTGGAAGACTGGATGGGTGGGTTAATGGATAGATGGACTGGTAAATGAATTAGTAATAGGGTCTGATGGAAGGACTGCTTCACGGGTAGATGGGTGGTTGGATGAATGGGTGGATGGGTGGATGGATAGATGGTGGGATGGATAAGGTCCTGGATTTACAATTGAATGGATTTGTGGGTGGATGGATAGGACAGTGGGAATCTGTGAGTAGAGGATGACTGGCTGAAGGGATGGATGGGTTCATAGATGGATGGATGATGGCAACATCATGGATGAATGGATGGATGGATGGATGGATGGATGCATGCATGCATGCATAGATGAATGGATGGGTCCATTGGTGGATGGATGCATGTATGTATGGATGGGTCCATAAGTGGATGGATACATGGATGGATGGATGGATGGATGGATGGATGGATGGATGGGTAGATGGGTGGATGCATGGATGACTGGATGGGTCCATAGGTGGATGGATGGATGTGTGGATGAATGGGTGGACAGGTAGATGGATGATTGGATGATTATATAGATGAGAATGGAGATTTGTGGATGGCTTCATGACTGGATTAGGGATGGATAGCGTCCTGGATTTTCAAGTGAATTTCGATGGTTGATCACTGGATTCATGGGTGGATGGATAGGACCGTGGGAGTCTGAATAGACAGTGACTGGCTGGAGGGAGGGTTAGATGAATGGATGGTGGAGAAATTCATGAATAGGTTGTAGAAAACCTGGGCAGCCATTGTTGTTCCCTGGGCCGCCACTTCCACTGGCTCTCAGAGTCCTTGCTTGTTTCTTGAAGGTTACCCTGACATGCTCCTGAGAGACCAGGGCAGCTGCTTCTGCTGAGGGCCAGTGGGAAGCCCTCCACCCGGGGCTGGAGTCGTGGTTCATGGATAAGAAATATGCAAGGAAGGCGGGTGAGAAGAATGATAAATATATGAATGGATTCACAGAGGAATTACGAATGTGTTGGTAGAAGACCTGATTGATGAGTGAATGGATGGATGGATGGTGGATGGAGCATGGGTGGATGGATAAACAGATAAACGTATGTGTGAAAGACAGAAAGGAAGGCAAGTGAAGAAACACCCTTTACCCACTCCATACCCCTGCCATAACTCACGGGCTGTCCTTTTTGACTGTGGGGAATTCTGAGTAGTCACCCCTCAGGGGTCCCAGGGTAGATTTCTGGTAGCGCAAAATCTTGTCAAGTCTCTCCTGGAAGTCTGACAACTGGTCCCTTGAAGACAAATAGGCCCCACCTGTCATGAACCGTCAAGTTCCCCATCCTGCAAGTACCCAAGCAATCCTGCCCTACCAAGAAGGTCCCCAACACTGACCTCAGGTCTGGGAGGAACTGGCAGCTGGGACACTGTGGAGAATCCCGCCAGGACCCGGACACCCCACTTTGATGTTTCGGAGCTGAGGGCGCTGGGAGCCAGGAGGAGGAGGAGTTAGCTGGGAGTTGGGGATCAGTCCTTACCCTGGGTGCCTTACTGACCCGTTCAGGGGCATGGCAGACCACCCTCGAGGAGGGCTCTGAGCTCCAGAGTGGGGACCCCACGGCCTGGGGACACCCCACCCGGGAAGGGCCCCGCTTGTGTGCATTGGCCTTACTCTGCGCCTGCAGCTCCGGCTCCTCTGAGCACTTGGCCCGCAGCTGGGCCAGGAACTCACGGAATTTGCAGGGGAGCAGCTCTCCCAGGAGCGCGCCCATGGGGTCCCGGGCCCCCCTGCCCACGCCCCTGCGGGCGGCCTTGGGCTCCCCGGGCCAGGGGCGGCCTGGGGCGGGGGCCCAGGGCGT